TGAAATCGACATTTCTATTTCGTGTACGCAATGAATTCAAAGTGACAGAGCCAACTCTACAAAAAAAATATATATATGTGTGTTTATCAATAACAGATTGTAATACATATTCGTAACACCGGCCTCATTTAAACATAACTGCATTCGATCGTTCGTAAACGGTTATTGTACTTTGTAAATCGAATACAAATGTTCACTCGATTAATTATTCGGTTTTTTCGTCACTCGAAAGTATCTGTACCTACACACAATAAAAGGAAACATTCGTTTGACTTAAGATTTAACATTTTAAAATCGGTAAGCGACTTGTCGAGGTTTCAAGGATAACCTGGTTGTGGGTTAATTAAAACGGATTAATAGGTTCCTAAAAATATGTTGTGTAATATGAAAAAAAAAAAAAATCGCAGTCGTTCAGAGGACGTTCGGTGAACAGGACATACGGTTCTGTCACGGAACCATTTTTTTGCGTTCACAAAATAAACACACATATTAAATAGTTATTCTTAGCAACTGACGGGAGCCATTTAGTAAACTGTTCAGGATCGACCTGTTACAAATTTATTCGTTCTTATCTACCACTCGCCAAAGCAAGTTCTCGAGTTTTTTTGTGGAAATTATTACAATGTTTTGTGACCGGTACACTTCATGAAACCTAACTTATGTAATTTAGAATGTAGCATTTGAATAATAACAGTCATTAACTTTTTCGATGCAACATCTGACCTCTAGTTTCATCGTCGAGTACTAAAAACTTTACCATAATGTCTTGTACAACACACTGGCCCTTATTCCAAAGAAAACCCCTTTCGACAAAATTGAAAGATACGCCCTTTTCCTGGACATCCATTCCTTTATAGTGAACAAACACATTGTTTATGAGAAAGAAGAAAGAACTACAAATTGTTTTAAAATGTTTCAATAATCTCGAAATGATTATTGGTTCTTGATCTTGATGAAAAAAATTATTTTGTACACCATACTAAAAAGATGCAGTGAGGGGGTTACCTACTTTTTGTCTATCGCAAAGTGTACCCGGTAATAAGCATCGTAACAATATTTATAAAAAAAAATTCGCTAACGTGCTCAATCGGTTGTTCCAGTGTCGAAAGTCGATTAACGGTGTCCCTCCACGTCAACGATCATCGATCACCAGAACAGCCAATTAGTAGTCCTCCGAATGGGGAAACTATCGCATTAACTCCACTATAATTGCATATTTGAACGTACGAGTAAATGATTCATAAGTACATACGTGCGTATACGACTGTATATACCCATTTGTTCATTGATTTCCGTTCTCCCCGTTCATGGAATATTTTTATTCACCGACGTTTCTGTGGCAACGGGACTTTTTTCCGATCGTCAACGACGAATTACGTTCTCGACGGTGTCCAGATCTATCCACTCACGAGATCACCGGCGGCGCGAACCGCGAGGCAATCCAAGAATTTCTCATCGTTCATCTAAATTCCCTTGCAATCTGAACAACGTTCGTGTCCTTCGTTGCACAATTGTCAGCGGCGGCGTGGAACAATTAAAGCAATCCGAGCGTGGAAAAACGCGCGGCGAATCTGCACAGAGTGAATCACGAGTCTCGTGGTTTCTCTGGTCGTAGCGCTTTGGTCGCGAACAGGCGTCTGAACCGCGACGTCTGGGGACCCTTCAACGGCGTGGAACAGACATATGTTCCACGTATCCGCTGTAATTTGCATATCAGGGGAAAATGGGGCATTCGTGATCGGAAAAAAAACGGGGCGAACTGATAACAGGTTTATCGGTGTTCGAAATGAGTTACCGTGAAGGCAACGAGTTAAACGGCGATTGTTGACAACGTTTTGTTCTGTCTATTTACGAACGGCCAAACAAGCAGGTAGAATGTGGCGATAAGAATAATTGCCAGCAGATATATCGTGAAGGGCGAATTAGGTATTGGTAACGAATGGCTGTTTAGAAATTGTAGTTTTAGAGGTTGGGATTATTATTCGATCCCTGAAAGGATTCACCTGAGAATGTGGAACGGGGTCTAATCTAGAGGGTTCAACTGGACTTAATGGAATCTTGAAGGACACCCAGCGAAGTATCAGATTGGAGGTAGTTCATTCTTGGGGTAGACCTATGGGAATCTTGAGTTAGACTTAGGCTACTCCTAGTTAAATCCTGTATTGGACTTGACAGAAGCCTGATGAACATTTAACCGAGTCCTAGGTTGTACCTGATAGAGTCTTCCGTTGAACCTAAGCATTTTTGATTCCTGAATTACACCTGACCGATAGTCCTGAACTAAATGCAATGGAGGTTCTTGAAGTGTCCTTATACCTCTCGATGTTTATGTCGGGTATACTCGTCATGAAGTGATGGCATTTTTTCGTTTAATGTTTTAAGTATACTCGTCATTAAACAAACAAACATTTGCACTCGCTATTTAAAGTAAAATTTAGATAAAATGAAACTCATGTTATAACACATTTTACAATATTTAAGGACAAAAAAACACATAAAGAAAAAAAAGAAAGTGACTATAGATGACACTCTAGTCGCAAAAGTAATTTTGTCATTTTATTAGAACTTCTGTCAATTTTTACAGCAAACGCATTCACTCTGCTCTTGTCGAGTAAACTCGTCATGGCTAAAAAATAATTAAACACACAATTGCACGTTTTCAAAATGAAATAAAATACTTAAAGGATTAAAAAGTACTAAACTAGATGTAATAGAACATTGTCTTAAATTGGACGTTACTAATTTCTGGGACAGGTTTAACCTGGTCTTGAGTTACGTATAAGCAAGAAGTCTATTCCAAATCCAGCTCGAGTTGTAAGTCAGGTTCATTTTCGCGGAACAAGGATTCTTGATTGAAATTTCTTTGAATCCCAGTGCGACATATTTTTTGGCGTAACTTCTATAAAATTTGTCGACCAAATTGAGCGATATCCAATGCCTGCGACGATTCGTTTCATCGCGTTGACACCACCATAGAGGAGAAAATATACTGACAGAGCAGAAGATAGAAAGGAAACGAGCGGAACGAAATTGTCTCTCGCATGAGTTCAAGCGATGATTCCAGTGAATCGACGAGCTGTCAAGAGTTGTCGATCTTCTTGGGCGTTGCGGGTCCGAGGGATGATACAATTCCAGTCTAGTAAGCAGACCAGCCAATTAAGAAAGTGTGCCGGCGCGGAAAGTTAGTATCATGCTCCAAAGCGAAACGTGAAAGCGCTTGGTAAAGTCGTTGAATACGGGAGTTTCGAGAATTCGAATTTTTTCAGAAAAAAAGAATGCAACTTGGTCTGGGCGAGCTACATCTTTAAGGAAAAATATCGACCCGATTGGCAATGTAAATGTAATACAAGCCTCGAGTCAGTAGAAATGGTACTTGCTTCTAAATGGTACCGTGAGCCTCCGGTTTTTAAATATTATTATTTCGGAATGAAATCCTTCGCAAATGCTGGTAAAAAATTCTGGAAATGAATCTTCAGATACTTCGAATGATTCTTCGAAGATGGATTATTGGTAGAGTGGCGAAAAAGGTATCGAGAAAATGGTACCTAAATGGCACAAGAGAATGTTTCCAGCTGAAGATCGAATGAAATTCCACGTCGATTAAATGTTGAAATTGCGGATGGACAATGTCCTTGAAAGAAATGTCTCAAGTGTCTCGTTAACAGGTGAACTCATTGTTAGTCATCTGGTTATTGTTATGCGAGTATCAGTTTTCTTTTTGCACTCATTGCAATATTTCGTTCGTTGTAAATGTTACACGATACGCACGGACGAGCGAGTTGCGGCTCGTGATGCGTTTTCTGATCGCTTATCGCCGTGAGATCACGCACGATCCAGTGAATTTTTGAATGATAAGCAAAGGGAAACACGCGTTGTAACACGTTGCCTGGTATCAAAACCGAAAACTTGACCGATCACCGGTCGATTTTACGGCAAGGAAAATTTTTTCAAGGTAAAGAAATTCTTCTTTATCGTCGAGACAGAAACGCCACGATCACGCTATATATTTCGCCTAATAATTCTAGCCACTCAGCAGTAATTATTCACCGCTCGAAAAATGATTGTACGAAACTCGATAAAAGCACCCATTAGTATTTCGTTCCTTTGAGGCACGCGGAATTTCTAAATACGTTGAAAATATTTCAATCTTGCACATTCTGTCGCGCTATCGTTTCACTGGTTATTGGTGAAAATGAAACTACAAATACTACAATTGCCATCGAACGAATTGCCGTTGTTAAGCAATCTTCGCAAAAGACTGCAAAAGTGAAGCATTATGAAGAATAAAGATCATTAACGTCGTACATCACTCGATATGATTTAATAAGGTCACTTAAGCTACTAGCAGAATTACAAATGAGAAGGAACAATATTTTCTCATAATCAAATTCTTAATCAACTATGAAAATTCTACTGCGTACAATTTTGTAAAATCTAATACAACTGACACTTAAGTTGATTTCACCTAGTGGGTCTTCGAATCTACCAATTTCATTCAAAAGAAATAAAATAAAATTAAGCTGTAGAGCGGACAGATTTAAATCATTACCGACAAAAGAACGAAATTCTTCAATATTTTAGTCCCACCATGAAAAAGGTTTTATCCAAATGCTCGAGACGAAATTTGTCTGAAATTCTGCCCTTCAGGTTCGAACTATCCAAAACGTATAAGACCGATTTATTCTACACAAAATCTACAATTTAATCACCAAGATTCTCTTAACGAAGTGTAACGTTAGAGCCAGTGACAACTTACCGCGAAGTTAAGTAATTTAATGGACCAAAACACAAGAAACAAGAAGGAAATTCTTCAAAATTCTGACCCCACACGAAAATGGTTCTAACTCAATAGAACTCGAGACGAAATTCGTCTGAAATCCTGTTTTCGCGCTCAAACTATCCAAAACGTATAAGGCTGACTTTTTCTACAAAACTTTCATAATTCGATCACGAAACGGTCACTTAACAGAGCTTAAACGTAACAGCGAATTACAACTTACTGCGAATTCAAGTTCCCCGATAGAACCAGCTCGGTGAGATCCTTCCTTTAACACGAATCGCGAGGAAAATGGTCCTTCTGGTGTCAATCGGCACCGGTCCGTGTAATGTGCGTGCGCCGAGTCACGCAGATGCCTGCGGTGTGTATAGTGCGTATGTATGTGGCTGCAGGTGATCCGACCTGTTGGCGAGTTCACAACGAAATACCGAGATGCAAGAGCCGTATGTCCCACTTATCAGGTACGGGCCGCCCCATAAAACCGCGCCGCGGACACGAAATCCCCCCACACGCTGGCCAGTCCAACCGCGCGCCTGTGGTCGCGGCGGGGCTGCCCTCAAAAAAAAAAAAAAAATTTTTTCGCTCTTCGGCGGGACCGTTTGGGACGTTCTGGACCGCGTCACACTGTGGGCCTGAGCTTAACGGTGGAGGGGATGGGGGTATTATGGGGAGCTCTGGTTATGAAACTTCTCTGACGGCCAAGCGTACTGACAACGACTCGCTTTTATTTCGAAAGGTACTTTTGAATATTCTAACCCCGCGCGGGGAAAGGGGACGTTTGTACGGGGATGAACCCATCGTTGCCGAATGATATACGTGCGTACATTGTGCCGTTCAAGCGATTATTTATTCGTCGACGTATCTACCGTCTGAGAACTAGTCCAACGAGGATTCTTTAGGCGAATAATCGAACGATCGTTCGTATTCCCTAATGAATAATGGCACTGTGTCAATGGGCCGTCTCTGAGGAAAAGAATAATTAAACAATTAATATGAACACGGAATAGGTAAACACCGGAGACTGGAGTCGGAGAGCTCGAAGACAGGGGGAGGGGAAGATAGATCGGTTACTTTTGAGACCACGACGGAATGAAATTTTCGGTTAAACTGGTTTTCACCTTCTCTCGCCAGGCGGGGAGTATCCCCGATGGTGGACATCGTTGTGGTTAAATATTTGAATTTGCTAATGAGCTTGGAAATTAGAAGAAAGTGGACCCTTCTTGTGGACGACACGTTGTGTGATGTATTGATAGAGTGATGGTCACTGAGATTCTCGGTTTCCCTGAACGAAACTGTTCGAAAGAATTCGAACGATCGTTCCTTCGGGGACTTGAAATCGATAGATTGCATTTGAATGGTACAATGAACTGATGACTACAAGAAGTTTTGGCAAAGGATGTGATTGTTAACTGGGATTTGATCTTTATCTTTTTTTTATATTCGTTCGGTTTTTATCCGCCACACTATATAATTATACTACGGATTTTAGGTACACTAACGGCAAAAAAGTATGGGACCAGAGATCATGATTAATGGAACGGTAATTCATTATTTTCTAAGGATATAATAAACGGTTACGGATTCAGTATATCTAAAAATAATTTCCAATCAGTTTTAGCACGTTACTGTTATCGAATATTCGTAGAATAATATTTTTTTTCTTTCCTTAATTACCAGACCTGGTCCTATACTTTTAGTCAATCATTTCTTAAACAACAAGTAAAATTATTATATAAAGTTATGCTAGAATCTTAAGGTAGCAGTAATTCGGACATCTACTTAAAAAACTTACGTGACAAATGACAAACTTACATAAAACACGAACGCAACGAGTTGTCTTTTTTTCATTTTTAACCGAATAAGGTCACTCAAGGGTAGAAAAAAATTGTTATTGTTAGTCTTGTAGTTATTGTTTTTGCATAACGATATTTTACATAAAAATCCGCCGTCTGCAAATTATCATAAGTGAATGTAAAGAGTCTAGTTCACAGTTCAGGGATTTCGATTCGATTACACCGATTCGAATGTTGTGACATTATTAAAAAGTCGATACTTATTCCTATCCCTGTAATCGTGGATTTGTCGATTTGCATTAAACCTCCTTCCTGATTTGCGAGGAACCATAATGAGTTTAGCATAATGATACAGCTTGGAATTCTGAAGCATATGGTATTTGTTTGTGGGCATTATTTTATGAAACATTTAATTTTCAGAGCCGAGGAGCCTTCGAACACTCATCAGAAATTTACTGTATCCAATTAACAAATCCAAGATTCCGTCTCATCGAACAAAGTGATATGGCTAACTTCCAAACTTCCATAGTCGAATCTCGACAAACAGTTCCTTCGAACGAATTCGTTGAAAAATCGATTGTCAATCGCCAAGTTCTATTCATCGACGATCAAAACACCTTTCACGATCCGTCGAAAAGATACAAGTATACGTCTCGAAGAGACCAATTCGTCACGGTTCGCATGAAAGAGAATCAACGGAAGACGTTCAAGACGAGCGTTGGTACAAAAATTTCGCGTTGGAATTTACATGTCCATTTTCGTTTGACAGTTGTAAAACGTTTGCCGTTGCTACAATAGTAAATCAATCCGTGGACGATAAATACACGTATCCGTTGAAAAGAATTTCACACGGTCGTCCGACGCGCGATTCTTATTCAAATTCTTTCGACAAACACGGAGGATCGCATAGTACCGAGAAACGACCATCCTGGACCGTTTTACGTGTCGAGGCTCTAGGCCTCCTTCTTCCGTGTCGTTTTTTTGTTGCCGTTCCGTTTTGTCTCAGCGGGAAGATCCAGAAAAATCGCAGAAATATGTATACACGCACAATGTATCAGTAACGACCGTGAGATGTGAGGAGCCGTTTAGCCTCGACAGCTCCAAGGCATTGTTAAAATAAAGTAGTTTTTTTTGGCAATTGTTTTTTTATTACATCTCTGTCGGTTTCTTCTCTTTACTTTTTGCGACAACGCACGGAAATCTTTCTTTGATCCTTGATAATAATTCGTGGAAATTGTGAAGCAAGGTTTGTCAAAATTATCAATCTTTATGTACTGTGGTTAAATAAAACGAAGTAGTTTTTGTTCTAGGGAATACAATCTATCTTTTTCTGGACATTATTTCTCAAAACGATTTCAGACATGGCATACCTATTTGGTTTGTTTTTATTTTAACGACAATACATAATTATTGAAAATTTTAGGGTGGTTTTATAGTTATGCCACGCAGTGTATTAATGATAGTAATATGACAAAAGATACAGTTACGAATCTGAATTACAGAAACATTCTAGAAAATCAAGAAATAATTCAATACGTCCCGAAATCTGTGATTATGTCTGGACCGTAGAGCCAGAGGGTGTTTTCACTCTCTCCGATGGTAAAAATTATTTCGTTCTAAGGCGTCTAGTTTTTAATATAGGTACGTAATAGTCTAAAAATGATTAGTTCATATTTTTAAAACAGTGTAAAACTCATCACATAGGAGAATTAATGCCAAGTTCACCATTTTTACATATACATAGAAACTTAAATCCATTCACCAGTTCCAAGGTAGCGATTATTTCTCGCTCAATTCTTACCGAACGGTTTCAAAATTACGTTTTTGCACCTTTTATTTGCTCTCCTCTAAAGTTGGCGAAGTGTGACTTAATACACTCTGGCTCTGGGGTCCAGATGTTCCCTTTATTCAGATGAATTAAAAAATTCCAGGTAAAAGGATATTATTAATCATTAGACTACGAATGTTTATGTATTTATAGCGTTTATTAACTGGGAAAATGCAATAAAATAAACGTGTCAATGGAGTTCAATACTATTTATGCGTTATTATTAACGTACTAAAACCTCTACTACAAAATTCAATATTATGCTCAATTTTAATTTTCAGATATCAGTATCTAAAATTTTTATTTTGCATAAACATCTGCAGTCTATTAATGATTAACAAACGAAAATAATTTTGTCGTTGTCACAGACATCGTAAAACTGAACAACACGATTCTCGCCGATACTTTCCTACTTTCTTCAAGAATATATGTACATGTATTCTTTCCATGAATCGAGCTGAGCAGCATGAAAGATTTTTCTAAACGATGGGCAATACAAGATAGCAAAGAGTATAATAACCGAGCATCCAGTAGCAATTACGTGTCGTAAGTGTCCTTCTTTTTATTATGCTGCTTCTTGCATTCCACCGATTTTCGTTTTGCGTTTCTTCGCCTACGAGCGACCCGATTTCGGGCCTCTGCCTACCTTCCGTCGCGATCAACTCTACACCGTTCCGCGAACCTTAGGAGATGTAAATCTTTATGGACAAAAATTCTGCATGCTTCCTGGGAGAAGAAATCGGTGGGGAATCGAGGACGAAAATTATCCGGCTGTGCTACAAATCTCTTTTAACGACGCTTCGCTCACGTCTCACAATGAAATACGCCTCGCCACGGATATATGAATACTATTTTAAGAAATATTCCATTAAATTATTCATATTTATTTCTGTATACGAGCGATTTAGACGGTGAATGCAATTTATACCTGAATTGTGGGTATATATATATATATTCTCAGAGATTCAGAACGTAGAGATCGTAGACTAAGTATTGGCAACAAGGTTATGGTTTTTCGATGTCGTTATACTAACGTGTCTGATCTAGAAAGTAGACTGGAATGCTTTAATGATTTTCTATTGAAAAACTCGGGAATGATTACATTAAATGTGAATGTGGAAATATAACGGATTGGTATTCATACGTGAGTCCTTAAATATGAGCTTCTTATGCGAATAGGTCACAGTGTAAAGAATTCGATTCGCAGGAACGCTTGAGCAACTGTAAAGAGACAATCGATCTTTGAAACGACGTTCCGCAATTTCCTGGATCGTTAACATTTTCGAAACGCGTTCGCGGTCTAACTAAAATAGATTCAATTGACAGAACGGAAACAATCGATATGCGGTTATTAATCATGGATTTCGAAAACTCGCATTAACATTCGCGAAGCTCACCGATTTATCGCTTGAACGTCAACGATCAGTCACGATATTCTAATATTTCGGAGGCCTAATCTGCAAATCTCAGTGAAATAAATATTCTAATGAAGTTCAATACTAATTCACATATTATTATTAAGATACTAAAACCGATGGTATAGTCTATAAATAAAATTCTCCCCAATATTTGATACATTAATTACTGAAACTGTGAATTTGCGTAAAATGATTACACATTGCTATATTTGACACTAGAACTGCAAGAATGTATGCCTATTAAATTAAATTGTACAATATATTAATATATACGATGTACAACGTACTATTAAATAATATAGTATAATACGAAATGCATATTAAACGAAAAGTCAACATAAATTCTGACGAAAGCATCTTCACGGTTTCAGTAATTGCAAAACAAGAAACTTGAAATCCGTCATTTTGACAAATGATTCTAGTGTTAATCCTCCACCTACGACAATTTAAAAACATAAAAGATTTAGATCGGTTATTGTTGACGAAGG